AAAGTGTGTCATTGTTTACTAGATTTTTCTTTACAAACATAACTTCATAAATATAAATAGAAGGCAGTGGAAGTAAGTTAAGTTTTTTGAAATGAGGTCTGCAGGACTCGGTTCTCTTGGTATTTGTTATTGTTCAAATGATTCTCTTTTGTATTTCGAATGTTTGTTTAGCCTCTCGTGCTTGGACCCATAGTATTATCCCGTATTTGAGAATAGAGTGCACATTTGCAAAGTACACTGTTCGTGCTATCTTAATGGTGCTGTTTCTTATTATTATTTAAAGAGCATAATTAAGTTTGCTCAATTTTGAATTACTCTCTTTTAGTTGAGAGTTCCATTTCAGGTTGGATTGTATGGTGAATCCGAGAAATATTGTTTTCTGTTATTGTGTGATGCTGTTTCCTTCTAATGTTAAATTTGGTGAGTATTGTTGTGCTGAGTGGGAGCTTTGTTATGGTCGATCCATTGAACTACCTTGTCGATGGCTAAATTGGCTTTGTCTTGCACAGCTTTGTTTGTTATTTCTTTAAATATTATATTAGTGTCATCGGCAAAAAGTACGGTTTTGTTGTTTTCCATTATTGATAACAGGTAATTTACAAATATAAGAAATAAAATCGTACTAAGTGTGGATCCTTTCGGGACCCCATATGTCACATTTCTTGGCTCGGAGTGATGGTTATTTATTTTGTTGTCTTTTTTTGTAAGGTAATACTACTATTTGTTTTTGGTCTGATAGGTAGGATTTTATCCAATTGTAAGCAATTCCTCGTATTCCAAAAGATTCTAATTTTGACAATCGAATTGTGTGATCTATCGTGTCAAAGGCTTTTGACAGGTCGAGGAAGAGACCAACAGGAATTTCTTTTTGCTCTAATGCCATGAGGATTTCATTTACAAAGGTGAATAGAGTAGTTATCATTAAAAGTTCTGTGTGTTTTATCATTCAGTGTTTGCCGAATATTTCCGAATACATTCTGGTATTTGTGATTTTTTTCATATGTGTCTATTTCTGTGAGAAACGTTAAGTTGTAGCCCAAATATTTAAAATGGTTAACTTGTTCCAGCATCGTATTTTCCAAAATTATTTTGGTGCTTATCGGATGCTTTCCCACAAATTCCATAGTTTTGGCATTCGTTTTTGAAATATTTAGATTATATCCTTTGCAAGTTTGGTTCAATTGATGGATAGATCTCTGTAAGTCGTCCTGACTTTCTGGGATTGAAATTTGATCATCAGCAAATAGTGTATTTAAGTACACTTCATTTCTAAGCTTGATTCGTAGGGCGATTTTGTTCTTCCATTCTCGAATGAAGTTATCCAAGTACATGTCAAACAAGGTTGGGGAAAGTCTGCATCCTTGGCGAACTTCTTGATTTGTTTTTTTTAATATTTTTCTTCTAGTTCTAAAATACGAGGTATTCTGTCACAGAGATTCAATGTTATTGATTAGGTGGTGTGGGTAGCCTCTTTTCATGATTTACCATAAATTGGAGAGTTTCAATTTATCGAAAGCTTTTTCATAATCAACGAAATCCAAATGGGTTTCGAGATCACATTCTCTACGCTTTTCTATTAGTTGTCGGGTGGTAAAAATATTATCTGTACAGGAGTCTTTTTTTAAAACCATTTTCTTCTTCTATAATTAAAAGTTCGGAGATATTATTTTTAATTTTTACATCTATTTTATAGCATGTGCGTAGTTAACTAATACCTCTATAGTTGCCACAATCGCTCCTTTTCCCTCTTTTTAATAATGAGATTACTTTCGCTTTTTGCCATTCTTCAGAAACACGGCATTTCTTCCAACATCAATTGAATAGGTGTAGGATTCTTAATTTTAACAGCAGGCATCCATATTTAATTAGTTCGGCATTTATTTCGTCAAGTCCCGGAGCTTTTAGATTTGTTAGTCCCGTTATTGCCGTTATTGCCGTTTCGATTTCTTCTAAATCAAGTCATTTACCGAAGCTTGTATAGGCTTTTCACATCGACTATTTTCGTCTTTAGGGTTATACAATAAAGTTTGATAAAATTCAACCCACTGACTTTCTTCTATAATTTTCAAATTAGCTGTGTCATTTAATTCGCTGTTGATATACTCGTACTTTATATGCTAGTTGTCTGCCATGAATGTCATTTTCTAAATCGCTTATAAATCTTTTCCATGCTGATTGGTGAGCATTTCTAAATATTTCTATGGCGATATTTCTTTTAGCTTTGTACGAACACTCTCCATGTTTACTCTGTCTTCATTTGCAGATGCTTCATATATCCTACTGTTTTGAGTTATGGATTGTTCTATCTCTTCATTCCACGTTCCCGTCTCCTATATTTACTTGATTTTCCCAAAGCTTCCGAAGCCGCGTCTTTAATTATGATTTTAATATTTACCCATTATTCTAGATCGTCGCTAGTGATGGTATCTTCAATCTTACGTGCCATTCTGGTTTCATATGGATAATTTACGCTGTCTTGTCACAGGAGATGGACCTTGAAGGCTTCTGCCTTTTTCTGGTTCTGATGGTAGGAAATCGAATATTTCTTCTTTCATCTTGCTAAGACTATTATATCTGATTTCAACAAGTAATGGTCAGAATTTAATATATAATGGAATATATAAATATTGATATTATAAAATAATATAATATACTATATAATATATAATATAATATAATATATAATATATAATATTATATAATATATAATATAATATTAATATCCTGAAATAAAGGATACATTAAAGATAGCTGTTTGGAATGTGAGGGGTCTGTCAACAAAAGAACTAGAACTAGATGGAACTAAAAGAGAAAGAGATATATATATAGCCATTATTTCAGAAAAAAGAAACTTAAAGTAACAAAAGACTGGAAAAAGATGTAATGATATGTAGTGGGGTAGAACAAAAGTTGATAATTTTTAATGTTAATTGCCTGGGCAGAAGTCCGGAGCTTCAGAGTTGTACACAGATAGCACATTCAGTTCGCCCAACTTTTTTCCACCACAGGTGTATATTGGGGTATATTTGAAGGGTCATGTCATCTCAACCAATAATCATAGAAGCAAGATTCATTTTTATTTTAAAGAAACAATATTGTACTTCTACGAAATTCCAACTTTTATATTTACATTAATAATTTAATGTTTTGAATATAAATTACAAGATTTCAAAAGAAAGTTCAACATTATTTTAATTAAATGCTTACAAATTTTGTTCATATTATACATAACATTACATTAGTTTCTATTGCAATAATGAAAAAATACTATTTATTCCCCAAAATTAGCTTTGGTGTGATATTTATGAAGAACGCTAGGCGTTAATGTAGAGGGCATGCCCAGTAATGAATTGAATAGCCATTTATTACTGATTAAATGACAACAAACAAAATATAGCGGGGTATTAAGGTGCTTTATTGATGTAGGAACTTGCATGAATAGCCGAAGAACGGAAAACTTGCGTTCATAAGCAAATATTCGGTATGAATCGGGTGCTCGTAGATTTGCTTGGCGCCGTAAATTAAGGCGAACTATCGCCGCCTGTAGGTTCTACGAGCTGAATGTGGTAGAGTAGAAGCATTACACATTAGTCGTTCACAGGTAAAGATTGCATCACTGCGCCTTTTACGTTTGAGGTTAAAAATAAGATGCCATTCTTTTTTGGTTGGCGCTGCACGGTGCTGATCCTTGGTCCTCGCTGAATTGGGCAGTAACTCTCTTCAGATTCCTCTTTCGTTACGCTTAGGAATAAGAGCCGAAATCAGTTACGGTTTCATTGAAGTCTCTTTTACAGGAACGGTGTGTGAATGAAGGCGAGTGATTGATTCCAGAGAATAGGACGGCACACATGGAGAGAGTCGAGAAAAGAGGGAAGTGAAGATTGGATAAAATGCTTCCTGAGGTTATGGAATGAAAACGTTTGGTCCAGAAAGGTTACACGCAGCAAACATAGTAAGATCTTTAAAATATAGACTCTTCTGAAACGCGAGAAAAATAAAAATGAATATAAATACTTGAAGTATATTTGGTTACGGTTTTGGTGTGGTGTGAACATAAGGCTTAACTTAAAAAAGTTAACTTAGGAACTTAAAAAAGTTTTGAAAATAAAAGGAGAAAGTGTGGTTATAGCGGATGAGGGCTGTGTTTATGAATAAATCATCTGAGGAAACAAACACTATAAAGTGTTGATTTTTTTTTTCAGGAGCACCAGCTGGTGTGGAGAAAGCGAGTGCTGGTGACGAGATAAGAGAGCAACACTAATGTAGAAAAACGCGGCAACACGGTGGTAAATCAGGACGCGGACAAAGATTTGAAGCGCTTTGTGTCTGAAGAAGTATGGAGTTGCTGGTCCATCCCTGAAGACTCGGAGAGGAAAAAGAAACAAAATAAAGAAAGTCTGATAACGTATTAGTAGAAGATGAGATAAGATTGGAAGGTAAATTATACTAGCATTATACACATTTGTAACTTGTATACTGTGAACGCTTATCTTTCTGTTTTTGGGGCAATATAGAAAGGAGTTACAATTTACCAGTAAATATAATGAAGGAATAAATAGGGCTGTAAAAGTGAGATTAAAGATATTACAGCAAGAAAAGAAGCGATAGGGAAAGGTAGTTACTGAAACTCATAAGGGAGAGAGAGGATGAGGGGCAGAGGTGGTGACAGGGAGGGATAAGGGAGTATTGTAGCCAGAAAGCCAAGGAATCAATGAAAGAGGGTGAGGGAAGGCGAATTGGAAAAAAACTACAATAGTTGTGGATGTTCTAGTATTAAACACTGAGGCGATGTATTAGATAACTTTTGTATGAAGATAAGTCGTTGGGTACGAAGTAATAAACATCGTTTTGTGATAAAACAATATAAATTGTAGGAAGAGATAAGGATATAAAGGCATGGTATTACTTTAGAAGACAGATATTATCGAAACTAACTGATGGAGAGAAAAGGGAGAAAATATTAAGAGGACATACTACTTTCCAAAATTGCATTTGTTGTGATGGAGAAAGAGAAGGCAAAAAAAGTTTCTGAGAGAAAAGAAGTTAAGAGGTGAAGTACTGGGCGTTGATAGTGAAAAGAAACGGGGACAGGTAAGGGAAATAATAGTGATGGAAGAAGGGATATGGGATAGGAGTGGTTGGAAGGGGGGAGAAGAGGGAAAGGAGGAGGAGATAGTTTGATAGTTGTAATAACAGAGAGTGAAGAAGCGGGGTTGTAAGGGGGATGGAATGGAAAGGGAAGAGGATAAAGAGGATATGGTAGAGGTAAGATGGAATGAACGAACTAAATGGCCTGATGATTGAGAATAGTTCATCAAATGTATTTAAGAGATTACATGTAGATTTTAAAAGAAATTATAAATATGAGAAAAAATTATATAAATTATTTGGGAGCTTGGAAAATAGTTAATGAATGGAAGAAATGTGGTTCAGAAATTGAGGTGGTCTCAAATATGAAGAAAGTATGTAACTGTGGTGGAAACAAAAATATTGAAACAAAACACCTAAAATATGTTGAAATATAAACGAGACACCTGGGTAGTAAACGTAGAGAAACTTATGTTAGAAGAGGAGATAACGTTAAGGGTTGAGTTGGAAGAGGAAAGAGAGAGACATGTTTCAGAATAATCAAAAGCTAAAGAATACCAAAGGCAAGAGCAGTGGAAGAGAGTGATAGAAAATCATATTCTGGATGTGTTTTCATTTCAGTAGCAGTTCTTCTCTGGTGTTCACGTAAACTACTGTTTTGTAAGTATTAATAAGTGGAGTAAAGTACATATTAAGTGTTAATAGTGTGTATAATTTTTTCTTAGTTTTCATGATAGAGGTTAATGGACTTAATTTCTTTTTCCAACCTATGAATTATTTAGAAACTATGCTACATAATATATTTATATCTGTTTCAGTACCTGGAACGTTATGTAAAAGACGAACCAATCGGAAGAAAAACCTTAAAAAGTCTGTGGGCTCTTCTTGAGTGGCCTTCAAAAATCGTGATAATGAATTTAAATTTGTTGTTGGGTATCAAAACTGTGGGCATGCTTTGAATGTGTGCAAGTAATTTAAGAAATGGTGACGATTGTTTAATAAAAATAAACAATTAGAAATCATCATTGTATGTGCTGAAAATGTGATTGAAATGTGTATAAAATATAGTGTGATGTACTATCGTCATGTGGATAATAAACAGGAATTTTGTGTACTTTTTCATTGTAAAAGAAAATTACCACCACCATTTTCCCTTTAATAGCATATAATAGTCACAATTATTGGTCTATCGTTTAAATGTGTTGCCACGGCAACTGGGGGCAGTGATATCCACCAGAAGAATCAGTAATACAACGTAACTACAAAGTTAACTCAATGAAATTTGTTGAGAATGGTTAGAGGCATCACTACAGGAAATTGGTAATCGAGGAGTTGCTGCGTAATTCAGGTAGTTTTATACATTTTAGAATTTCAAGTACAGAGAAATTTGTAATATTAAATTATTAGGAACTTAATTGTAAAGTAAGTAGAAACTTGTTAGCTTGTAAATTATTAATTGAATACATTTTTAAATTTGGAATTTATAACTGATTCATTCTTTTCCTCTCAGTTTTAAGTATTGTCGGTAGAAATTTACATGACCGCAAGACCGTAATTCAAGGGTCTCATATTTTTTGTATACGTTGTCTCCATCAAGGCGGTTCAAAAAGCCATATTTTTTAATAGTTTTAAAATATGGTTGCAATGTATTATTAAGACTTCGTGTAGACTCCAGGAGAAAATGTCCGATAGCAAAAAATTGAACTTGTAGCAGAAAAAAAGAAGTGGTGCTACGAAAATGGCATAGACTTTCTTGTACTACTTGGTTTTCCAATCTTTCTGGTCTGCGCTAGCTATTTGGTTTTCCCAACCCTATTCCCAATTCCTTAATATATAACTGCCTAAAGGATTTTTTTACATTTCAATTTTTAGGTCCCCTCGTGAAAGAACTAAAATATGACATGAAGAATATTACAGAACGGTAAAACCTGTTCCTACATATTTAGTTGAAAAAGTAGGAGACGTTCAATTAGCATTATCTGAACCTAAAGTGTATGGAAACTATTTGGAGCAATTGTAGGGAAGATATTCGAGCCTTACTGATAGTGCGGAATTTTGAGCTCATTTTCACAAACAACTGAATGTTTGAAAAACTTTTTGAGACATCATTTCAAGCTCTTAAACTAAAAAATGCAACAAGGCACGCAAATCACCGGTAATGTAAATATTAACGGCGAGTGTTGTATTTGAAAAATATTCTGGAAAATCAAATATATAAAGTTCCGTCTGTATCATGCTTGACTACTCATTTGTCAATATTCGAACAAAAAGTTGAAAGATAAAAGTAGCAGCCTTTTTTGAGGAAATCTTCATTTAAATATTTTTAATATTGTCCAACGTCACAATTGCGCGAAAACTACTCAAATATTCATCAAAATTTGCATGTTATTGTAAATAACTAATTGTAGAAAACAAATTTTGTTTTAAGAAAAAAATCGGTGTGTTGTAGTTAAAATAAGATAAATCTAAACTTTTGTAATTTTCAAAAATTAACAGTTAACAATGAAAATCTGATATCTGCCATTTTTATTAGTGTATTTCACTCTATTCTTACAAGAACTAAAAAAAATGTAGCCATTTTTTGAACAAAAATTGAATATGTTCCAGGCATTTCTTTCATTTAAAGTTCCCCCAAAATTTATGGAACTATTTTTAAAATCCCAGGATCCTTCGATTCAGGTAATACCAGGAATATTTATTTTGAAAAATCTCAGGAAAATTTAGGTGCTACTATAGTTCACAGACATATGAATGGACATTTAAAAACGTTTTCCCTTATCAGATTACCTCAAAAGGTGAATTTCGGTTGAAATCTTTGGATCGATTTTCCTTTACGTAACTTTTTCTATACGTTTATGAGGAATTAAAAAGGAATATGTTTACATTCGTTCCTGTAAAAGAGTAACTTACGTGTATAAAAATATCGCAGAACAGTTTTCATCGCGATCAAAGTTATACCAAAACAGTAACAAAGATTCTGCGGAACAACTTAAGGGCGGGAATATATATATGTTAAGAGAACGCCGTTATCTATAACTACAACACTCGACGTAGTAATCAAATTCATCAGGTTAGAGTATCAACAGCTGCTTACAAAAAATTAACATGTAATACATGTACATTATTTTACAACACCTTGCCTGTTAACATTAAATGATTAAATTCGATACAAAAATTTAAGTTCGAAGTAAAATATTTTCTGCTGCACAACTGTTTCTATACAATTAGTGACTATACCGAGCATCCAAAAGCAAATCAATATTAATTTTAACAATGACATTTAATGTTTTATGAATCATTTAGATTGTATAATTGTAAAGAACCTGCAACAAGTATTGTCGTTCAGTTTGTGGGTCAATGACCCCTCTCGCGATCAGGTTTTTGTCCTGTCTCCGTGATCCTGGAGCAAATGCTGAGATCGCCCCTTGTTTTGGTTCTGGACGTAAATGTAACTTCAAATAAACTTCTCCTCATAGCACGTCACACACATTTTTCGACCGTTTTTTGACGTAAATAAATAAATGGATGCACTAAACTGCAGGCTCGAAACTTGCAATCCCGTAATACTCCAATACCCCAATTATCTGGAAAAATTACGTGGAACAAATTGTCACAGACACCCGCGAGCTATCTCTGGCCCGGCATTGGGCCCGAGTGCAGGACTTCAGGACTAGTCCATCTTTCCTGGGTCAGCTGTAGGCGCTTGCGGGTGCGCACGTCGTACTGAGTACACGTGAGTCAAAACTTTATTACAGAACCATGTGAGTTCAAAAACGTGAAACCTGCAAATGAGGTATCGTAATTTTAGTCGTGCTTTACGTCCAAAAACAGTCAATGCGCGAATTGTGATTTTCTCTCTGGCACGAGTGTGCTCGCGGCGGTCTGTCCAAATTGTTCTACGTACGTTTTTTACAGGTATGGTAAGATCTCAGAGGAAAGTTTAGCAAAAAAAAGAATGTTGTGTTTTTTTATAGTAAAGAGAGGAGTTTGAGAAAGCTTCACCGCAGGCGTGTCCTGAGCCTGTTTCTGCCTTCACTGGCGCAAAGCAATATTTCACCGGACGCGACCATAACTCAGGTCACGTTTGACTCACATGGTACTGCAATACTAGTTTTTGACTCACGTGTACTCAGTAAAGACTTGCGGCACCGCAAGCGCTAACCAGCTGACCCAGGAAAGATTGACTAGTCTGAGCCTGACTCTGCCCATACGCGGGCCCAGAAGAGAGCAGGCTCGCGACGTGTCTGGTGACAATGTTCTCGTATTTTCGTACAGAACATCGAAGAAAGATCCTCTACGTGTCCTACAGTTATCAGTTCCATAAGTGTTTTTAATGAAACTGGATGACACTGCTAGGCCGGCAATGTCTGTGGTCAACTCCATACGTTGACACGTTAGAGCAAGTGAGCTGGAGTCCAGAAAGTTACGTTCGAAGACGCAAACCTATCTCCCCGAATAGAATACGTACGTGATAACCGTTGAAAAACAAAAATTTCCCATCTGCTAAGTTAGCAACACAGTGGAAGGTGGCTGTGGTGTGTGCCTAAGAGGCGTGCTCGAAATCTCCTCGGCAGTGAGGGCGGAATTTTTTTCTGATTGTGTACATGTGTAACTGGTAAGTTGAACACATATAGATAAATTATCACAGATTGCCTTTGTGCCCTGGTGGCGCATGGCTTAGGCACTGAGGACCTAAGCAAAGCGGAGGATTCGGGTTCGAGGCTGGCCCGTGCTCCGGGACGCCTTCCGCCCGCCCGCCCCCGTCTGCTCTGTTTGGAGTCCCAGTGTGATGACATGAGAGGGCATGTTTAATGAATTTTTCTATTAATAATCACAAGAGTTTTTGCCAAAACGCCCCCCGATGGGACTCAATGCTTTTGCTTTTCTGAAGAAGATTTCAGACGGCGCCGACTCCGCGGAGGAGTCCCTCTCCGGGAGCTTTCCGGTGGAAGGGCCTCGTAACGAAACTTATAAGTTTAAAATACTTATATGTTACGAGACTCTCCTGGAACGCCGATAACGAACTTGTAATATTTTATACTTCAAGTTTCAATAACGACGCTCCTCCGAAAAATCTCCGAAAAGGGCGGGATTCGAACCCGACGACCTCTCTTCCGCAATCGCAATAGCTGCACGGCCCCATCTTGACCACGCGGCCAGCGTGACGAAAAATTATTTTACTAAAGGTACTCTTCGAACCTGAAGAAATACTCCAGACATGCGATGTTTGCAAGGATCGAATCCGCTTAAGTAAAACTTTGAAGCATCACTCTTAGTACAAGAATTACTTCCGCACTTTATGGCATAGAAACCTACATGTTAACTATTGAT